TATTCGAAATTGTCTCAATGGTACTCCCGAAATTGTAAAAAAAAAACAAATGGTATATTATGATTGGTTAAAATAATTTTTTTATACAAAATCTCAATTTCAGATCTGACATTTGGCAAGAATAAATTTTTAATATAAAAACCTTGTCATAATGAACCAAATTTTTCAAAAAAAACCTTTTACAATAAATTTTAATTTGTTTTTTATTTTATTTTTAAATTCAGCTGACTTTTCATCAAATTTTACTTTATTAACTTAATGCCTTCTTTTTTTTAAAAAAAAATAAAAAGAAAGATTAATAAATGAATAATGACCAGAATTTTTTATAAATTCTATATCGTTAAGGATATAGTATCTTTAGCTCATTTTAAAAGTCTTTTTGTTTGAATTCCTAAGAGATAAATTTAATATTTTTATTACTAAACTCTTTCATTTACATCAAATTTCAAAGTTGGCCTTGCAATTAATTAATTTTTGCCTTAGTTTTTTATGTGACTAAATTAATATCTATACTCCTAAAAGTTGTATATTTTTTATTGATGAATTATATCAAAATTTGTGTGTCATGATATTCATATACAATATTAAACTAATTTATCTTAAACATTTACATTTTACATAGTGTAACTCAATGATCCATACACTACTATTACTTTGCAAAATATAACAATAATAGGAAAAATCATAGATAATCTTAGATAGCTACAGCCTAAAACAAAAGTAAAAAAATTAAAATAGAAAAAAACTAAAAATATATACATCTATACAATCTAAAGTGATTCACAATAGAAATCATTTAAAAAAAAAAAGAAAAAAAACTAATTAGGCTAAGTAATTCAATTTATAATATTTTTATCCTTAATCTAATTAGATTTAGGTAAAGAAATATTTTTAAAAAAATTTTGTTTTATATAAATTGAACCTTCATTTGTTCATGTTCATGTTTTATTAGAACTAGCATAGATTCATGATATAAAAGTCACTATCAGAAGAATAATTTACACGTTAAAAGTAAAATTTTCAATCAGATTATATACATTTTATAAATTTTGTGTACAAAATGGAAGGAGAAATATTAGTTATACAATTGTTACACTTGAAACTGATTTTTTTATATCAAATATGATTTGAATTAAATTTATTTCACTTTTAGTTAGTTCAACATAAAGTCTTTTACGTTTTGTGATTATTTATTCCAATATTTTAGATATTTATCCAAATAGAAGATAATTTGAATTTTATTGATATTCATTTTCAAACTAACAGTAATGATGCTATAAAAGTCACATTTTTTTTTAACTGATACCCATGAATCATTTAAAATACTAATTTATATATTTGCTTTCTTTAAATAAAAATTTTATATTCATATTTTGAAATTTGGTGTAATAAAGCCCTTAATCAGTAATTTCACAGTAGCAAATGCTTCACCAATCAAGTGAAATGAAAGTGAATATGTTATTAATTATTCACGTATACGTTAGTTGCCTGAGCAGAAAAAGAAAAAATTAAATAAAGCTGGTCAAAAAAAAATATTGAAAGTGATTGTATAACTAAGAAAAGACATATCTGTAAAATTATTTTGTAAAGAGTTGTTTTAAATATTTACATAATTTGCAATAATTCATAAGAGTTCTTTATTGTAAAATAATCAAAGGTATTAATTAAAATGCTTTGTGCAGTAGTTTCGCCATACTTATTACACAATTTTGAAAATTATAGCCATTGCCTAATCCGATACAATTGTATTTATAAACATCTTTGCTCTTGATTTATGTGCTACGAAAAAATAAAAATTACTAAATGAGATATGGCGATAGCTATAGACTTTTTTTTTGGCTGAAGTTTCAGTTTTGGGTTTCATGTCAACTTGAATCTTATAGAAATTACTACATTTGTTGTAGTAATATATTAATCTCATCAAATCACAATAAATTTTTCTTTGTTCTTAAACAAGTATTTGACTAAATACAAAAATGAAAAAACACTTTTTACTGTACTAAACAGTTTAACGTCAATTGTTTATATACAACAAAACAAATTTTTTGTCTTCTAAATTATCATTAATTAATAGCTTAAATTTAAAACGTCTAAATTCAAACATAATATTTTATAATTATTATTGTTTGCTACAGTACATGCTTAATAAAGTATGGATCAAAATCAAAAAATTTTAATTTAGGTCCATTGATATATTGCGTATTTGTATACGATTACTTGCATAATAAATTTTGAAAGACACACAATTAAGTGTATAACATAATTAATAAAATTGTTTCATCACTCTCATTGTTCACAATTTAATGGTAATTCAACATAATCTATTGAAAATTATAATATTTTACATTTTGTGATTCTTTATTCTAAAATTTTGGATAATTTTCCTATGGGAAATAAAAAATTCTTTAATTAATACAGCATATTATTAAGTGTATTTATGAGATCATTTGTTGATTTGATACCAATTCTTTAATTCAAGAATTGCTTTTGATATAACGAGTTTAATTTTAAATCCAACCGATTGATCTGACAGATTGTAGGTTATTAGAATGGTAGGATAATAAACATTAGGGTGCCAGGTTGCCCTAATAATTATTTATTTATAAATACGAGCTTGAAATCCTTAAACAGCTCAACATTCTACACTCGCCCTTGTATTTGCATACATAACCTTAAAAACCTTCCTTTAATCCCTCTGTGATATTTTCGCTTTTGTCATTTTAACACTTTATTAAATAAATTTAGCATCAATATTACTCATTTTTACTTAATAAAACCTTTTGCTTACGTTTAAAATTGTTTACAAATACATAAATGAAAGAAATGAATACAACACTATTAAAATTGAGTCACAATACATAGAAGTCAATAATCTGTAATGTGTAATCTACCTAGTACAGTAAGTTTCACATCTAATGACCTGACATTTTAAAGTTTTAACTGAATTGCTATAAAATATAAAGTATATATAAACTATCATATTAATGAAATACAAAAAAAAAAAATCACATAGAACTTTTGAATTATTATATAGCTTTTATTGATTTGTTTGTTATATTCATTATAATTATATCTCAATTTAATTTAATCTAATTACAAAATCATTTAAAAATCAATTTTTAATTTTATAAATGCAAATTTCTAGTTTACAATATATTTAAAAAAATTATTAACCCTTAATGATAATAAAATTGCAGACAAATTGCCTGCAACTCTAATGTTTTCATTAATTTTTAACTTAAAATTTTACTAATTTTTTTTTGATTTTTAAAAATTTATAATAATTAATATGGATAACAATTTGTAGGAAAATTTTTCTGTAAAACTGTTGAAAGGATATAAATACAGATAAAATGTATAGTAAATAATATAAATAGCATAGAAAAGTTCTCGATAGCAATTATAATGAACTTGAATAAAAGTTAATAAATAAATAAATAATAATATCATATGACGATAATTGAAAAAATGTTATATATATAGTTTAAAAGCACAATTACATTAGCCCAAGTTACTAATAAACTTATTAAAAAAATCTTTCTTTAATCACATCATAGAGTATTCATTTTTTTCAGTCCTGAGGGTATGATTAAATAGGAGTCGACTGTAAAGTATAATTTGAATCGCATTCTGCTTATGTAAAAATTTAATATTATAAGATAGTTCTTTGTGTTCTTCATACAATTTTGAAAAGTTGACCTGAAGGAGACAATTTGATGTTTCCATTATGATTCTTTTTAAATTAATACCTATTTATACTTGATGAAAGTATTTGAAATATTTTATTATTATTAGGTGCTTCAATAATACTTATAATGTCATTTAAAGGTAAGAAAGCAGTTTGAAAACCTGCCGTCACCAATTTTAATTTTCTTTATTAAAGTTGAATTGATATTTGAATTTATTTTTTTTGCTTTATAGTCATAAGCATTTATTTTTTAAAAAATAAAATAATAAAAATAGTAAATAACATTATAATAGATATAAAGTCGAGTTTGTAGTTTATAAAAAAATTAGTTCACATATTTTACCTTGAACGAAAATAAAATTTCCTTTATATATATTAAAATAATACGATCTTTCAATTTTACTAAATATTTGTATATCACAAATACACCAATGATTGAAATTTATTTTTTCATCATATCTATAAAACTGAGTATTATGCAAAAACTAATGCATATCATATGAAATTTATATATTTGAAAGCTGAAAACCAGCTGATTTATTAATATTTTTTTTAATATCCACTAATCAGCCAAATATCTTCCTACTGTTCTATAAGACACACCCATACCACCTAAAGATAATTTTGTTACCAATGTGGTGACCATATAGCCACTACTTAATATAGTAGGTGTATGGCTATTTTATGTTAAATTTAATGTGACGTTATATATTGAATATAAAAAATGTATAGTAAAATGCAATAGTATTATAGAAAATGTAATGTTAATTCAAAGTAAATATGTAAATAATTTAAAGTAGATAGAAAGTAAATATGTAAATTATTTAAAGTATTCGTATATTAAATGTATAGCATATATATAATAGACTTATAGTAATATGTGTTCTTTGCAGTAAATATAAATTTGCTAAATCCAATTTTAACCCAAATCTAGTCTAAATAAAAGAGAGGGAAAACATTATAAACATTCATGAAAGTAAAGTAAATCTTTAATAAGATAAAGAAAAATTTTGAAATATACTTATATTAATTTGTTTGTAAAATATGATAAAATTTTTGTTTTTAATTTTTAGAATTCGTAAAGATTCTCTGAATTATTATTCTTTTCATCTTTTGAAGTTATAAAAAAATAGTTAGTACAAGTAAGAAATGATAAAAATAAAACAAACAAAAGATACAACTCACCATTATTATAATATATGTTATATTAAATAGCTTTAAAAAAGAATTCATTTTTTAAATACCGCCTATTTTCTGAATTATGATAATTATTTGTGCATCTTACATTACAATTATGTACAAAATGCGTCTTTCAAACTTGATCCATGACTGTTAACGGAAAAATCTTGTGATAAAATTCATCATTACGAAGGACAAATATTAAACAATCCAATTTATCATGACTCTTATTAATATATTTGAACTAATTAATGTAGATAAACAGATATAAATATTTATCGTTACTTTTATATTTGAAAATACCTTTGATGATTGCATAACTTTCACCATAATCAGTAACTTGAATTGTCATAATATCATTTGTATTTAAATAGCATTAGATTTCAGTATTTTGTATATATTGAATGTAAAATGTGTATTCATAAAAATTACAAGTTTTGTTGATCAGTAATGCATAATATCTAAAACTTTCATATGTAAGGGTTAAATCAGTTCGAAAAGAACTTGTATCAATTCTAATATTCATATTGTGAACTGATACTGGCTTTTTAAGTATTATATTTCAAAATTGACTAGATTGTGAATAAATAGTTAAAATCTTGAGATATATTTATGAATTCAATACTGAATCATAAATTTCGAAAATCGATTCCACTATCTGCAAGATGCTGAATGGATTGTAAAGTTATATAGCATTTTAATAAGTCAAATTCGATATTCTTACAATTGGTATATGGAACTATATTTTAAAGATATTATAAACCATCTCTTTTATTCTAACTTCAGTATTCGTAAAAGTTTTAAATATCCTTATATGTTGTAATAAATGACAACTAGCATGAAGGTTAGGAAGATTCACAAAGTCATTGAATAACTATAATTATAATATAGTTAGCATTAAATTGTCTCTAACATATAAAATTTTTTTTATATTCAGAGAATCTAGTTCAATTTTGATATTTATTATTAGCCTAAATCTACTATTTATATAACTAATATATATATAAACTTTACCTCAATCAATACTTTTTGTATTTTTTTCAAATACTTTTCAAGATCTGCATAATCACTTTCTGTTAACAAGATCTTAAATGCTAAACAAGAGCATTTTGTTACAATTGCTTAGCATTTAACAATTGTATTAACCACTTGATTACGATTTAAATTTGCCTGTATTTGTAGTTTCTCTATTTCTTGTGACTTCAAACAGCTAATAGTCAAGGATCTATTTAGTATAAATGGTATTACTATCCCTAATCGAAGACGGTCTGACATCATGAAGCTTTCAATATGGCTGATAGGATTCAGAAGCTTTAACCATTGACAGGGATATTCAAACGATTTCCATTTATAAATGAAGTTTTGTTCACCTTTTGGAGATAGCATAGCAACTGTTAATTTAAATAGTTTTAACATCTTGCCAGCTATTAAATGGTAAATATCCTGCGGTGATTGAAGGTAATGTTCTCATTGAAGCTGATCAAGGATTGGTAAATGAGTTTGTAGACTATATTTCTTTGCAATATAATTTTTTTGCTTTAAAGTTGAAGATGTGAATATATTTTAGAATTGAATATCAGTGATATAGTGGTAACGTGAAATACTAGCTATATCTAGTGTAATATCTGTTGAATTTTCTTTTACGACTAGACATGTTCGATATCCCTTTATAGTACTATGTCATTTTACACCTGTTAGATCATTTCCTTGGGGTAGATCTGCGGTAATATATTTGAAACCAGCTATAACCCAACAATCTCTTCCTTGAATATTCATTAATATTCCCTTTTCCAGTTATTTCATATCTTTAATAAAAGAACAAATAAAATCTTTAAAACAACCACCAAAAGGAACAAAGCCTAAGATAAAATAATTACGAAGGTGTTTCTTCATATCAAATGACATATTTCCTAGTTGAACATAAATCTCACTTAATGAATGATAGACATTTCGATAAATTCCAAAATCATCATAATAGATATCAATAAATATTTTTAAAATTCAGAAATTATTATATTGTATTAGTGGTAAATTTAGAGCACGATATTCATATGAATGCATATAATCTAGAGTTACATCTTATAACTTCTAACGATTATTTTTCTTGTATAAAATTTCTTTAATAAAAAAGTTGTTAGTAATAACAGTTGAATCACAAATAACAGTAATATCAACTTTTCTAATGATATTATGAGTATTTGTGATAATAATGCCTTCTCTCAAATGCTGATCTACCAACCATAATTGTAATTCTTTTGTAATAGACTGAGAATTGCAGTGAAAATAGTTTGGTAATTTATTATAAATATAATCCTTTGTAATTTTATTTGAAGTTCATTATTAATAGATACTATTAATCGTATTTGTTTAAATCTTCGATTATTGGTTTCTTTATATATAATAAATTCGCTTGGATGATAAATTTCTAAATATAAAGAAATAAAATAAACAATATGCATCAAATCAATTATAAAATAACAACAATAAATTGAAATTACCTCCATTGATAGTTATCTTATTTTGATTAAACAATAGTAATTTAGCCTAAAGATCTCCATACTAATATTCTTTTTTTTCTTCAACTTCTATTCCCAGTACAAAGTATAATGTGTTATATAATGATGAATTATTCAATATATTCTGAATAATATCGTAAATCAACAAAATAATAACAAGGCTTCATTCCTTTAGATGTAAATGGTGTATTTTTTGGGTTTATTTTAATATGACGAGTTCTTATTGGCATTAATGATAATCAACTTCTCTATTATCTAAACCTTTTTATATTCTTTACAACATCTTTTACTTTAAACGTTTGATGTTGTAATATTTCAACTAAGTCATTGTATGCATTCATTGCTATACATCAATATAGATATTAGATATTTTAAAGTAGATCGTTAAATGCATTCATTATAAAATTAAACTTACATATAATATATTTTTGTATCTAACAAAATAATAATGCTGAGGTTGAATTTTCAAAATAAAGTGTAAAGCTTTCGTTAATCTTTGATATCTGGTCTCTATCCATTGATGAATCAACTAATTTATCTTTATACTACTATTACAAATAGAAAAAACTGTTAATAAAAAAAATATAATTAGTAATAACATCTAGGGATGAAAGGCTTGTTGTTATTCAACTCAAGTAGTTTAGCCAGATCTATTTGTAAAACAAGCCAACTAATCAAATAGTTTATCATTCTTCATCTTAATTTTTAGTTTTATTAAAAAAAATAAGCAAATAAATAAATTTAAAAATTACATTATCTCTATCATCAAAAATATTATCGCTTTCTCTCCAATCGTTATATTTTTCTATTTCATCTTTATTACTATCACCATTATTATCATTGTAATAAATATTTTCGTTATCATCATAATAAATATTTTCATCATTATAGTAATAATCATTATCCTTTTCACTATGATTATTATTATCTTCTTTATCATGATCATCATCTTCATTATGATTATCATTTTCTTCGCCGTAGTCATCATCTTTGTTGTGATCATCATTTTTATTGTGATCATCATCTTTTTCACTGTGATCATCATTTTCATGATCATCATAATCTTCGCTGTAATCATTATCTTCTTTACCATAGTCATCACTATCCTTCTCTAAGTTTTCTCTGAATTCATTATCATATTCAAATTCCATTTCATATTGCAATTCAGTTTTGTCATCTTTGTTATCTATACTCAAATAGTTATAAAAATATTAAAAGCAATAGAAGAGGTAAAATATAATATTTTATATAATAGAAGGTCAAATTAATAAAATTGATAGATAATTATTGTTCAAATTTACTAATTTTGAAAAGTTCAGATTATCAACTTCGTAGTCTATCCGTATAATATATTACTCAAATGAACCAAAATTTTTATTTTTTTAAAGAATGTTATGTCCTAAAAAGTTTGTATTTTCGCATAAAGAAAATGGTTGGATTAACAAAAGATGAGGTTTACATATTTTCAAGACAAAGTTTAAGAAAATTATTTTTTTATTATTATATATATGTAAAAGTTTAAATAGAATTAAATTATTATACACAAAAGTTTAATAATAAGAGCGTAAAAGCTAAGCCTTATTTTAATTAATTAAGGAGATTACATAGTAATATATTAAAATAGGATCTACATGTATTTATATATAATATATGATTACCATAAGAAAATAATAATAGCGTAGTTATTGATTAAATAATTATTCAATCGAAGTATCGAAGTTAATCGAAATCTATTTAAACTAGTTGAATAATATAAAAATACTAACTTTTATGTCTTTGTTTTAAAATTTTATACTTGACATTTTATTTCATTATTTTATAAAGAAAAATCTCGATTAATTTTAATATATCATTAAATATTTATTTTAAAATGCCAAGAAAACAAAATTCTAAAGAAACTAATGAAAGTACACAAGCCACAAGTAAGTATTTTTCACAAAATTATAATATATTGCAGTTTTTATTTAATTTTTATTACAAATAAGAGGTCGTGAAAGAGGTGGTTGAGGTAGAGGAAAAGCAGAACCTAATTTTACCTCTGCTAAAGGTCGTGGAATATGTAATTCTATTCGTGATAAAAGAAAACTTATTACAGAACCTAATTTTATTGCCTTTGATGATTTTTAAAATCATTTCAATAAAACAGGTAATTGTTCTTGTTGTTGTTTTAAATTTCTATACAGCTGAAAAACAGTTTATAATATTTATTCATTAAAGGTTGTAAAAGAGAAGAAGAAGCTGTTTCTACTATTACTCCTTTTAATAATTTTGATACAAGTAAATATAGTAAATTATTCAAAATCGTTTATTTATAATTATAAATACATTTTGTAATTTTGTATCAAAAAAAAAGGTTATGAAAAAGGAAAACAACTGGTAAATTTCAACTTCATCAATTTCATCATCCGTACCTGCATTAAATAATTATGATAATGACTATAATAATAATTATAATAACGATGGTGATGGAAAATTCTAGTAAATTTAAGTTATTTAATAAAACTGTTTTCTTTAAACTAACTTTATTATTATTTACTTTATTATTGGAAAAGATTATATTAAGCAAAGAAAATTCAAAGACTCTGAGCATTCTAATGTTGTAGATAAAAGCAATACAAAATATATATATATGAAACGTGATCAACCTTCTAAAAAGATGATCACAGATCTGTTATAATTAACAAATAGTAAAGAAGAAACTGAAGAAACTGGTTAGTATATACACAATGAATAAATGATAAATGACTCATATTTACATAAAATATTTTATTGTAAAACAATTAGACTATGCTTTTGAAAAAGGAACACAATATAGTAAAAGATGAAAAAATGATGACGTATCTGAAAACTTTGATGATGAAGAAGTTTCTGAATATTCTAGCAGAAATGACAAGAAGATATCAGGTAGTTATATTGTGTTTATTTTAGTTTTGTATTTTATTATGTTACTTTACTAATATATTATATGATTTAATAAATTTTAGTAAGACCTGAAGTATTTAAAAACATGACAAATGTTATAGAAGTTTATCAGTAGTTGATAAATGAAAGACTGGATATATTATTCATGGCAAATCAAATGTATAATGCTATGAATTCATCTTTGGATTTACCAGTAAATATGTTCATTATATTTACTATGTCTACTATTCCTACCTTTCCAATAGCAAAACCTGTTACAGTTATACAAAATGATAGTGCGCTTGCTTAGCTTTGACATGAAGAGATAAAATGTCTATTTCTCAGGATTAAGATGCCATCAAATGAAACAATCGAAGAACTTATTACAAAAATCTTTAATTATGACCTCAATAGCAATAATGCTGAAGAAGTCATTTTTTATTTTAAACGGATTCTAACAGACTTTTACAGCAAATTCAATAAAAAAATCAATACAAAAGTTAATGAATTAAAGGAAATACAAAGAAGAAAAGAACAAACGACTGTACTGACAAAATTGGACATTGAAGATTTTATATCCTCTGAAGTTGTTAAGCGAATAGTATTATACAAATATCTAAAAGGAACTAATAAAACTAAACTAAAAAAATGTGACATCATAGAGCAGCTAATATTGTTTATTAGAGAGGTATTTAGAATACATTATGCAAGTTATAATACTAAGGCTATTATAAAGCTTAATAGCTTTATAAGAGATTGTAAAGTTCCAAGTAGGTCTGATAAAAACATTTCCTCAAGACTTTCATTAGAATGAATCAAAAGATGATTAAAATTGATATAAAAAACATTTAAATTTCTTTATATTTATTTGTTTTATGAAATAATTATTTATTCTTTACAAACTTTGCATATATGATATATATTTTTTATTTTAATATATTCGTTTTATCCATTCTTTTATTATCTGCTCTTTATTTACAATATATTAATTGCAAAATAAAAAATATGGAGTAAGATTTCCAATGCATGACGAATCTAATATTATGGTATCACAATTTTCTGAAAGTATTTTTATAATTCTTATATGATGTACAGTATATTAACAAAAAATCATATAATATTAAATTTCATTTTAAATTAGACACTTAACGTATCAAAATTTATATAAACTATTATTTTCAGAAATATTATGTTCAGAAGCATCATTTCAAACTAAATAATATTTAGTTTTTTTTTCGTAGTTTATAAATTAAAAAAATAGTTACCTTATCGTCTCTATATAGCTGATATAAAATAATAAAATAGAAATAGAAATTATTTATTTTAAAAAAAATAACTTAAAGCTAATATATATATAGTTAAATTAACGCTCATTATCGTCTTCATATAGCCAATATAAATTAGTAAAGTATAAACTAGACAGTTAAATGAATAAAAAGTAGTTCGCAGTTGATTATAAAATCATATGATGGTCACATAATAGTCACATATTAGAGATACTAAAATCACTAAATCAAATATTTCAGTTATGTTGTGGAAATTGAAAAATTCTGAAAATCATATTGGGCTAATGCTCTTGATGCATTTGCCTCAATCTTTCTTAGTTGATATGCATACTAAACTATTCCAAATTGTTTAAGTCTTTTGAGTTTATCGTAAATGGTGGTGAGGGGTATATTGGTTCAATTATAGATTTTTAGCATCCAGAATGCCTTTATTCCATAATTGTTATATAGCTTGATAGCTGGTTTTGTATTTTGAACGTTATATTCCTAATTAATAGTTTCTCAAAGAAAATTTAAAGGTTAAAGTTAGTAATAGAAAAATATTTTACAAAAGAAACTATTATTGGTGATATAAGTAGAAAAGTTATACTTACATTTTACACAGTTTAAAGTGAGCTTGATTTGACTAAAATTATTTGCAGAATCTTTTTAGCTCCATCTTGTAATTTCTGGAAACACAAAATTACTGAGAAAATTACCAAGTTAGAAACTATTATTACTAATTTGAAAAATAAATCAGCCAAGTTAGAACATATCCATAAAATATAGAGTAGGTGGTGCCATTGCTAGATTAGTATTACGAATAGAAGTTAGAACTGGATTTATATTTTAAATCTGAATTAGATATAATAAATCTGGATTTCTTCATTTCATCTAAATATAATAAATCTGATTCCTTCATTTCATCCAGATATAATAAATCTGGTTCTTTCGATTAATCTGATTAATTTAAATAAATAATTTTAACTAAATGCTGTTCTAATCATAAAATTTCACAAAATTTGTATGTAAATCTTAACAAATTAATTTTTCAAAAAAAACTGTCAACCTTTTTCGTAATAAATTTAAATTCAAATAAAATAAAAAAAGTTTTCACGACTTTTTATTCTATATAAAGCTTAAATTTAAATGTAGACTTTTGAAAATAGTTGTTCTTTTGACTTTTTTCTTAAGTTACAATGTCTGATACTGAATCTATACTTACACGTTCATTCATAAGCACTATTAATAAATGTAAAAAGTGTAAAAATAATTTGGGTGTTATATCTTCGGATAATGATAGACCATTAGAAAGAAGTAACTGAAGTCATACTTCCTATTTTTTTTGCAAAAACCTAAATAATAATGATATAGCTTATTGTATAATTTGTGAACGTACTAGTAAAAAACTTTATCCCTATAGTCAAAAAGGTGGATCAACTTTAAATCTATCCTGTTATTTACGAGATAAGCATCAAATAATGAAATTTAATTTTTTAGAATATTTAGATACAAATGATAAGGTAAGATTCGCATATACTGATAATTATATTTATAAATATTCATAATCTAAAAATATTTAAATTTTGTATTAACCAAAATAAAATCAAAGGCAAATAATGAATTATCAATATAATGAAGCTCAGCAGCAAAAGCTTGCGCGTCTCTTAATAGTTTTATTATTAAATTTGTACAACCTTTATATATTCTTAAAAATGATGCTTTTTGTGAATTTATTTACACTTGTAAACCTGGATTTGCAATTCCCTGTGAAAAAATAGCAAAAAATTTAATTTATGAAGCTTATATTTGGAGCAAAGATCAGCTTATCAATTTGCTTAGAAATATAGCTACATCAATTCATTTTACTACAGATCTTTGGATAGCAAAGAGCAATCATAGATATATCAGAATAACAGCAACTTGGCTTACTTCTGATTTTAACTTTTATGAGGTCTTGCTTACTTGTAATTATTTAGAATATCCATATACTGGAGAGGTTATTTGTGATGAATTATATCAAATTATTGAATAATGGCATTTAATAAAAACAATTTTTACAATTACTAATGATAATGGACCAAATATGATTAAAGGTGTACGACTTCTCAACCAGACTTTATCTTCTATAAAAAGACAACCTTGTGCAGCTCATACATTATAATTATCTATAAAAGAAGGTTTAAAGCATTGTAAAATGTTCATCATTGAATCAAAAATTTGCAAAATTTTTTTTGATTACCAAAACAGGCACAAAGACTACGACATGCATAACTTGAAATTAATAGACTTGAAATACCTTTAACTGAAGATTCTGAAGTACTAACAAGTCCTTTAGATATTTTAACTGATACTAAAACACGATAGAATTCAACATTTATTGCATGAAAATGAATTCTTAAATTACACAATGCTATGTGTTATGTTACAACTACATTATTATCAAAAAATGATCATATATTAAATAAAGAAGGAGAAAAATTAGAAAAATTATGCTTAACGCATGAAGAAAAAATGTAAGCTATTAATAAAATTTTAAAAATAATTTTTATTATTTATTTTAAAAATAAAGTATTTATCATTATAAATAGATTCGTTCAAGAAATGGTGAAATTATTAGAACCATTTGAAACTATAACTCGTCGATTATCAGGTGCTACATATCTGACACTTAATATGATACACCCATATATGTATATGCTTAAACAAATGTTTGCTCCAAAAATTCAAGAAAATGAAACTTTAGAAAGTTATTTTAATCTTATTTATGGATCTTTTACACCTGAAAATACTAATGAAGAAGAATTAAATTTGAATGATGAATTTAGTTTTATTAGTGATGATAATGATAATATTCCAACTGCTAAAAATCGATAATATTGGCAATATACTTATCAACAATTTAGAGAACGTATGAAAAATCAAGGACGAGGACGAAGATATAATCATAGTTTTTATCGTATGCGTGGTCGCGTTCGTGGTCGTGTTCATATTTTATAAAATTCATACAAAATAAACAATGAAATTGAAAATACATATCAAATTGAATATCTTTCTTCAGTAGATACTAGAGATCTTCTTAAAAAAGTTCGCGCTGCTATTTATCTTTCTTTGGATGATTTGTGGAATGTACCAAATGAATTATCTTTAATTGCAACAATATTAGATCCTAGAATAAAAAATTTTCCATTTGCAGAAGATTCTGATCGTGAAGAACAAAAAAATTTAGCTGAAGATCTTTTAAAAGATTTATATATTCAACTTAAACAAGATTTAGCATTTTCTGAAGATATTCAAGAAATATTACCTACCTTGAATGAAGAAGATGATGATATATTTGCAAAAATGTAGAGTAGCGATTAACGATCAACACCGGTAGAAAATAATAAGATTTCGTGTTACATGAATTGTCCTAATGAACCAAAAACTACAGATCCTTTAGTATGGTGGCAGGATCATATAGCAAGTTATCCTATTTTATCCAAATTAGCTCGAAAGTATCTTTTAATTCCTGCTACATCTATACCTAGTGAACATCTCTTTTCTGATGCAGGTAATCATATTTCTTCAAAAAGAACACAATTGTCTCCAGAATTAGTAAATCGTATGTTATTTTTAAAACGTAATAGTGCTTATTTTAATATATTTCCTCCTTTAGAATCTAATTAGTAATGGAATTTCTTAACATTTATGTATATGAACAATTTATATAGTTTAATAAAATGGTTTAAATATAAATTCTCTTAATAATTATATATTTTAAAATACATAAATGTAGGACTTCGTTAATCTCGCAAAAAAAGTTTTATAATCCTTAGTGACGAAGTATTTTCCAAATTGAATTTCTTGTAGATTCCTATAATTATGAATTTAATTTTTCAGTACTTTATTTAAAAACGTATAAATATAATGCAGTACATTAAAAAATATTATCAGTTAATTATAATAAAATAAATAAATTAAATTTATATTTGAACGAAATAAAAGAATTGAATTTATTATATCTGGATGAAATGAAGGAACTGGATTTATTATATCCAGATAAAATGTAAATTCAAATCAGAAGAAATCAGATTTATATTCGAATGCTGAATATTGATTCTAAACTTTAGTAGAAATATGTTATTTCCTTTTATTGTTAGACTTGCACTGTCGCTATCCTTCAGTATTCTGTCAATATTTTTCAAGATCACATTCTTAAAACTAATCGGTCATATCATCGAATCCACTAAAATTATCACCCAGTATTTGCTTTTTTATAGCATCTATAGCATGCGAACAATGCTGATATGTGACCACAAACCTTTATTGCTGCTGGTATATCATTAGAATAGCATATTACTACTAATCGAACATTTCTTCCAGTAGGATGATTATATATGACTAATAGTCTAATCCTATTCCAAAATTCTAACAGTTCATCAATGATCAGGAAGAGATAATGGTTAATTCTATGCAGTTTGACTTCACTTGGTCCTGGTAGTAATCCTAGATATAACATGTTTTCTCATTTAAATCTGACTTTTCGAGGAAGATTACATATTGCTCTATAAATCACGCTACTATATATGCTAATGATTCGAATAGTTGAAACCAATTGAGATTAATAATAATTCCTAAATGAAGATCAGTTGTTTCCAATGTGAAAAATCGAGAATCGCTTGTATCAAGTCGTGAAGGAAAATTTTTTCAAATTTTGCCATCATAAATATCTAATATCAAGCCGATCTCAGTATTCCAATTTGTCTATTTTTTCAGAAGAGATTCAAAACCTAGATGCTGATACATTGCAATTATTTGTGATCTTAAAGATGGTAAGAGAAAGACGATCTTAAGCCTTTTAATATAGCCTTTTACTACTGGTACATATTTGACTAACTCAGCTCCACATGGCTGTCTTCTGCTATGTTTCAGGTGATTTGAAAATTTCACATAAGTGTATTTGAATTCAGAGCTCGATTATTGGTCACATTTTTTGTCAAGATTTCTGAGATTTTATATAAAGCATTATATTTTGGATATATTGCGTATGTCTTTTCTTGTCTTTTAACTCCTAACAATTTTCTTGCCATATGAGAACTTGTTGAGAAACCTTTAAATTGTAACTAATTAGTTTCTAATAAAACTATCCTAAAAAATCTAATAAGTGTGTCAATAGTAGTATCTGAAAGGCGTAATCTTGATTGATACTTGAATATCCATAATACTATCCATGAATCATCAAAATTAATGTTCATATTAGAATATCTATATTCCAAATCAGAATCAAAATCGTCAAAATCAGGAGTAGTAAATTGCTCAAACGGAATATCGTCTTCACTGTTTTTACTCAAAGCACAATCATCTTCCTCTATAAAGGACTTTTTATCATTAATCAGAATTTCATAATCTTTCCTATTGTCTGATGGATCTAAAATAATTTCTGGATTATCATGATCAAGAATATTATATTTTGTTGCATAATGTTTCATTTATTTAGTACATTAATTAAATTTTGATCTGTTAGAACAGTTGGAGTTTGTTTATCATTATTAGATGTATCTTCATACGAACTGTGATTTTGTTCAACTGGTTTAATTACTTTTTTTCTTTTTGAAGCTAATACTATTTCAGTTATAATAGAATTATTTTTAATACTTCTTGAGGTTGAAGAATAATGCTGTCTGGAAGTAATGTATCGAAACTGTTTTATTTTTTGTTGATGTCTGCCAAACATTCTAGATCTACCCATCTACTACCATAACAATGTAATGTACATTTGCATTTATCTAAATTTCTAGTTTTAGTATCAGTATGAATAGCTTTAGAACAATCCTTATTAATATGATATTTCTTTGGTTTTGACATTTTTTTGATAAAAAATTCAATTTAGGAAGAAATAAATATTTATAATATTTAGTTATTTCCAATTAGTATATATATATATAGATTTTATTTGAATCAAGTATATAAATATCAGTAAAATATTTTATTTAAATCAATTAGTATATGATATCGATAAAATATATTCACATAAAAATACTTTATTTAAATCAATCAGTATATAATATCAATAAAATGTCTTCACATAAAAATACTTTATTTAAATTACTAAGTATATGATATCAATAAAATATGCTCGCATGTAGATAATACTGATTTTATGATTGATCTTGAAGGCAAAATTTAATATATTAGATTTGAATTTATTTCAGTTTTACTGCACTTTTGTAAAATTATCATTTACATGAAAAGCTTAAAGTTTATTTGAATCGCAAAATTTCATTATCCGTTAGAATGAAATTTGTGATAAAATAAAAGTCTAAATTTTACCAATCAGTCAGATAGATTTATCAACCTATCCTATCTATTACAAGAAAATTTATTTTCAATGACTATTATTTTAACAATTGCAAACAAAATTTTCTGATTCAAAGAATTTTATTACAATGATTAATAGTATTTTTATCAAAATTTCATTGAAAGTTTGCTTTCAATGACTACTAGTATTTTACAACTAACATATCTGATTCATTGAAAGTTTGCTTTCAATGATTACTAATACTTTTACAACCAAATTTTCTAATTTATTACTAATGTAAAGAAAGTTTATTCCAATGACTGTGTTATTCTATGGTTAAAAGTTTGATATTGATACTCCTTTGAAAACATATAAAAAGACCTCATGTTCTCTTTTTTTATTAAAAGTTTCTTCTAAACAAAAGAAAAATCTTCCAAAACATTCCTAACAAAAAATCTAATAAATGTCTTTTATCTAATAAAGAGTCTTCTGATAGAGATAAATGTAAAAAAATTTTATCGATTTCAGCAAATAAAAAAAAAGGTGATTCTTTAAAGAAACCTATTCCAAAGATACAATATAGAAGTAGCAAAAAACTGTATGTTTAGTTATAAATCGATTATTTTTAATATTTTCTCTTTATTTATTACTTTTTATTTTTAGTTTCTTTTATTTTCTTCTATTCTAGTAATTCTGAAACTGATTTTAAAAAGTTTTGTAAAGAAGAATCATATCGATCAAAACAAAAAAAAAAAACAGTTTGATCGATGTAGTTCAAGGAAAAGGAAAAGATAAAGAGATAGGAAAAGAGAAAGAAGGATAAAAAGAAAAAGAAAAAGAAAAATCAATTAGTATAATTGTTTATTGTATAATATATGTATTGTTAATTAGATCATAATACATATGGTCATTCTGATTATATTTTCAAATAATAGATGCTTTACAGGCCCAAGTAGATGAAATTAAAAGTTTGATGATGATCATTGCAAGAGGAAAACAAAAGAAAATAAATCCAAAAAACACAATAATTGATTAGACGAATGATGAAGTAAATTTCTACACATCAACCTCTTGATATGGGTAGCCTAGCTCTTTGAAAAACATGGCCAAAAAGGCTTATTCATCAAAGTTGATTTATATCACAGATTCTGCTTTTGAATAATATGATGATAGAGGTAAAAATCAGAAAAGAATATTTGATAATAAGCCTCAATTAGAAAAATCACGAACACAAAAAAGACGACCTGAACTTAAAAGAAATCTTTCCAATCAGAATCAAAAAAAGACCAACTGAAACTCATCATTGTCTCGATCATCTTCTCCTCCTCCTCTTTCTCCTTCCCCTTATACTTATCTCTTTTATGATGAAATGAATAAAAAATTAAGGAATGTGTTAAAGGTAATCTTTTCTTTATTTCATTTGTTTTATACTTATCAATTTTTTTTTGCTAATAGTTAATGTATTTTTATGATTAAGTCTGAAATATTAGGGATTATAGACAGAATACCAGAAAGTCAAAAATTAGATGTGAATAAAACATTTGAAAGTCAATGAAAATTGGTCAACAAAAAAATCATTCTGATAGTACAAAATTGATCAACAAAAAAACATTTTCAGTAGTGAATGGCATAATTAAATATATAATCTACGAATGCCACCATCATCAATGAAAAGAATTTCTAAATCAAAAAAGAAGCATTGAGTGGACTAACAATGATAAAAAGAGAAAGCATGCTAATTCACGACATATAGAAGTTAATAAAGGATTATATTATTTATTTTTTAACCTTATCTAATTTTTTTTTTGCCGTTTAGAAATGAGAAAGACAGGCTAGAACAATTAGCAAATTAATAAGACTAGATGATCAGTTATTGGGAAAATTTTATAATGATGAAATCCAATCAGTCTTCACTGATAATCGATATCATAGTTCAGAGATATCAGAAACTGATAACGAAAGTCTCAAACAAAAGATTGTTATTAGAGACATTAAGTAGTGATCTTTAATAATAAGTAATGAATGTTATTATATCATTGGTTTTAATCAGCATGTATTAATTAATATTTTTTAATAGTTGCGTACCTTTTTACGAGATTATATAGATACTGAATTCAGCCAAGCTTCAAAGGTATGCAGAATGAAAAAATGGGTATATAATTATGTCAAATTTGTATCAAATGAAGAAAAGACACCTGTGAATGCCCCTGCTTAGATAAGAACATGGTACAACAGATCGTTAAAGTCATACATTAGAAGATATAGTAATGTTAACTACTCTTCAGTCTGTGAAGATACAAATAATGTCGAAGAGAAGGATTATAGTCATAATAGAAACTATGTTGACAGTTTTGAAAAGAATAATAGAAATAGTGAAAGAAGAAATAGAAGTTTAGTATCGATGGAATATAATAGTAATTATGAGAAGGATGACAATTAATCAATGCAATATTTAAATTTTAAATTATTTTTTTTCAGCTTTTTTCAGTTTTTTTTCTGCTATAAATAAATACTAAATAAGTAAATAATAAGTAAATTTGTTGAATAAATTTTTTTATAATCGAAAAATTTTATTTGATGTTGTAATTAATTGAAAGATCAAAAGATATCAATCAGGGTATTAATAATTAAATAAATTTATAGCAATAGGTATATCCTATTAGTATCAAATTAGTGACTGATAGAAGCCCGATTTGTATACTCTGATTTGAATTTGATCGTACTCCTTTGCCGCCATTTTATGACAGCAATAGGGTTTCTAAATAAAAAAATCAGGTACTAATTAGTTATCATCTGGGTTACTGGATGATAACCAATTAGTACCTAATTTATCATCATTCGATCTGCGTAGCTCTTGAAAAGTAATTTTTAGATATAGTAGAATTCTTTGAAAAAAAATATTACTAACATTTTTTTTCTTTTTTTTGTAATAATGGTTTCTAAGGATCATGAAATTTCTTTTGAAATAACTTTGACTTGTTTATTTCATAAAGTATATAATTTATATATAATTAAATAATAGCAATAATATTTCATTTGATAATAAATATCTCAAATATTTTTTTAATAATAGACTAGTTAGCAATATATTTTTATTATAATATTATTTAATATATTAAATTAATTTAAATAAATTAAATAAATTAACAAATATAAAATTAAAAATTTAAAATTATATAAATAGATTAAGATCATTATTCAAATTATTATTCAGGTAATTAATTAATATAAGATTGATATAATTTTAATTATAAAATTGAATAAAACATATTTAGTTCAAACTATTAATTATATTGCAAAAATAAAAATTATCATATTTTACAAAAAATAATATATATTAGAAATGCTTGTGTTAATATAAAAATTTTTTATGTAATATAATTGCCAAAATTTTTATTTATTCATTATTATTATATTTAATTATAACTGCTTTACTAATTTACTAAATTTTTATCTATCTAACTTTTCGCATATAAACAAGCTCTTGATATTTCTAGTAGTAAATGATTTTGACTTTTTGTAATCATATTTCTTGCAATTGAAATGCTTGCTTTTACATAATACTTGTAGCTTATATTATTAGATAATCTCAAGCTATATTACTCAAAATCAGAAATTTATTTAAATAAGCTTGCTATTATAAGAGAGGTTCAGTTTCTTCATCAATTAATAGTTTAAGATAATGATTTAATTCTGTTTCTGTCTCTAATATCAGAGTAGAAATTTTATTTATAAGTACTATATTTTATCAAAATCATATAAAATATTAGTGATTCTTTTTAATAGAGGTAAAAGGAACTAAATTTATAGATGAGTAAGATTATTCTTTATAGAGTTCAAATATAGTTTAAAATTGAGTTTAAATACTTAGGTTTAATTCTTTTGAAAAATAGAAAGTTTATTTTAAGTATCTAAAATTGCTAAGATTGTTAAAGAATTATATATAATTAATCAATATTTTTTAATTTTATTAGATATTAAAGCTGCTACTTCATATATTGTAAAATTATTATCATTTGCATATTTTCTAAATGTGTCTGGATTCCTGTAAATACAAGATAAGTATTACTTATCATTAGATAAGATGATGTTGATAAATATCTAGTATTTCTTTTTAAAGATTCAAAAAGTAACAACATATCCTATTAAAAAATAATTCATTAGAATAAAAATCTATAAATATAAAAAAATATTATTTTTTTTTAATTTAATATATCTTAATTGAATTCCAATTATCATTATTAGGATAAAGATTATTAATAGAAGGATTGTAAACTGCAAGTAAGATTAAAATTAATTTAAAGTTCTTTAAATCTTTTTAATATATAATATGTTGAGTTCTAATACATATTCACATCTAAAATTGGTTTAAGATATTTAATTTTTTTAAACTACAAAATTATAAAGTGAATTATAAAGATATATAGAATTTTAATATTACACATTATTTAATATACTTTTAAAATAAAATTACTGACTAATTTAATCCTTTTTTTACTCTTAAATTTAATACAAGCATTGCACAATGATAATGTGAGAAATTCATTAAAAAAATTCATTATCAAAAGCTGAGAAAATTTCTTTTATATAAATTATTATTGCAAAATTATTGTCAGTTGTAAATGCAATAATTTTAAGATACACATAATTTCTTATGTAATATTTACTCTAGAATATTTTATGGTAAATGGAATTATATCAAGTAAAAAATACAAAAATTCTAATTAGAGTCAACATAGTGAAGTATAAGTCTTAAAAAAGCTTTCCAATTTATTGTAAAAGTCTAAATATTAGCTATTGAAACTGGCAAAAACTGATAAAACTATCAAATATGACATATATGTTAAATATGCCATATCTACCAAATAAGACATATTTATAATTTATATTATTTCTATTATTATTATCATATCTATTATTATTATTATTTATTTCATATTTAACATAATTAGCATATTTGTTAGCTTTATTATTATTATCAATAGTATTATTAATACTATAGATTTTCTTTAATTATAATTTTCCTATATAAAGGACATGAAAATGCCTTGGAAAAAGAATAGATTCCAATATTATATTCAATATACATTTAATAATAATAATAAATAACCTTAACATTGCAAATATAATACTTATAATTTTATTCTTATTAACTAAATAAACTCTCTAATTAATAGTGTATCAAGTTGATTAGATTTAAGTTAAAGCTATCATCTTCTGACTTCAAATTATAGTTAACTTATTCAACAGAAAAAATAATGTTAACAAGTGGTGATTTCTGCTAGAATACTATTAACTTTATATATAATGGATCACTAACAGATTTAGCGAGATGTATAAAGTTTGAATTAAAAAGAAATAGAGAAACAGAATTAATTTTATATATAACAGATCACTAACAGATTTAGTAAGGTATATAAAAGTTTAAGTTAAAGAGAAATTGAGAAACAGAATTGATTTTAGACTGCTTAAAGATTTAGTAAAGTATATAAAATTTGAAGAAATTGAATACGAACTACTCTTTCTAAGAAAAAATAAATTAAGTGATATATTACTTTAAAAAACTAAACAGATGAACTTGCAAGTTAAAGTATAATCTGTAACATATTTGAAATATTTTGAATTATTTAAAACAATTTAATCAAGTTAAAATACAAATTATTAATTAAAATACAAATTAAAAATAATCATGTAATATATGATGTGATATAGCATTATTTAATGAAATATCTAAAAAAGAAAATACAAAAAAAATTTTAAAAGAAGCAAATTCTATAATTGAATTAGAGTTTAATTTTTGGAAAGATCATATAAAAAAAGAAGAATTTTTAGATGAATTAGAAGGAAAAAATAATCCAACACAAGCGTCTATTAAAACTTTTCAATCTACTTTAATCAATGATGATAGATCTGAAGTAGATAATGAATCAAAAAATTACTGCAATATTGTAATTTATATTATTATAAAGGAATTTTTGATACTGTTAAATGAAAAATAAAAATAGAGAATTAGTTAATAAGATAATTAAATTAAAAATTAAATTTGAAATATTAAAAAAAATATTAGTATTTAATTACTTACAATTTTATCAACTAGCAGAAAATGGTTTTGAATATCTAAGAAGGATAGAAATACATTCTAATAAATACAAAGTATCTAAAAAAAATAGAGTATTAATGAAAAAATAAAAGAAAAAGAATTATAAATCTAATTCATATCATACGATTATATTATATCATTAATTTTCAAATATTCTTACAAGAATAATAGATTTAAACAAAATCTCAGAAGTGATTTACTTGTAATCTACCAATTAGAATTTCATAAATTAACATCAATGTATTCACTGAATTGAGAGCTTCACAATAGTATAAATAATATTCTGAATGGATCGCTGGATGCCAAGATAATTGAAAAAATGTAATTATTTAAATTTAATCATAAGAAATAAACATGAAATACTTTTTTTTTAAAAAAAAAGAGAATATGAATAAAAGAAGAAGTATTATCTAATATTCTTAATGAGTCGAATCAAGTTGAGTTTTGAGTCAAAATTATTCTATATACCTTTAATTTAAAGTACTTATTTATTATGTGTAACTAAAATTTACAATTATGCACAATTATGTGAATCAAATATGCGAGTTTATGTGAGTCATTTTCAGAATTCTAGTATCAACTATATGAATAGTAGCTCTTAAAATAATAATAGATATAACTATAGCATTTATTCTTATTACATTAGATAAGTTTTGTGAAACAAATTTTTTTTTATATGGCAAAACACAACAATATGCAAAATTTATTGAATAATTGAAAAATATAAATTTTAAAATATATGAAGAAAAGTGAAATTTAGCATAAAAAAGATTAGAAATATGTTAACATCTTGAACTCTACTTTTTTGACAATCTATTTCTTGAAGGATTAGTAACTTTTCTATATATTTTTTCAAGTAAACAAATCCTATTTTCTTGTTGAACTAAAGAGAAGAAATATTAGTTAGCTCAGTTCTTAAATGTTCACATTTAGCAGAAAGTTCAGTATTTTGATTTAAAGAAATTGATAATTGTTCTCTTAATGTAGAATTTTCTTGATGAGTTTCTTGGACTTTTTGATGAGAATCTGTAGCTTAAATAAAAGAAGAACACATATTAGAAATGTAAAGTTAGACATCTTTGACCAGCGAGTATCAGTTTACTGAAAGGTTAGCGTAATGATCCTAATGATATTTTAAGAGGCTACATATCGATACAAGATAATAGAAGCTGTAATAACCAGTTTTAAGCAAGGAAAACTCATATTTTAAAGATTTATAGTATAGTAAAAAAAGCAAAAAAATAATATGCTGCAGTCATATTAAATGAGATCAAATATACTATCACATTTTACACAGATAATAAGCATGCATATAACTATCTACTCTAGCTAGGCTAGTG